GAGCAGCAGGTTCACGGTGGATGTCTTACAAGTCAGCTGCGTAACTGGTAATGAAACTGCTGACTGGAGGCTTCTCAGGAACACCTGAGGATTAAGCAATAAAATGGACAATCGTCTGCCAAAAGAGAAGAAAAGATGGGCAGGTGCCTGACCCCGAAAGTAAACAAGGATTCTTTCTTTTTTTTTTTTTTTTTTTTTTTTTTTTTTTTTTTGCCTTTTTGAGACAGGGTCTCGCTATGCAGTTCAGGCTGGCTTTGACCTCACTTTGTAGCCCAGGCTGGTTTGGAACTCACAAAGATCCTCCTGCCTCTGCCTCCTGAGTGCTGGAATTACAGGCATGTGCCACCACGCCCGGCAAGGATTCTTTTTATATCTGCACACAAAAGGCCTCCTAACCTTCAGCAACCCCTGCTCCCGCCACACCTCCCTTCACCAGCCTCTTCAGCATCCTCCCACTGGCCATTCATTCAGGTCTATCAGCAAATGTCTTGAGTGTGTTGGGGTTCAGGACATGTTACCCCGAAGTATGATGCCTTGCCATGTTCAGTACTTTGAACTAAAGGAGACTGGGGCTAGGGGTAGAGTGCAGTGCTATCGTGTGTGCTTTAGCATGTGCAAGGCCTTGGGTTCCATCCCTAGCCCAGAAAGATGGGGGCGGGGGACAAATAAATACATACATACAAGAAAAGCAAAGCAAAGCACAGAAAGAGATCCGAAAGAGCCTCAGAAGCAAGGTCTCCTACCCTACTTTCTCCCATGAAGTGAGCCATAGAAGCCAGACCTTCTCTTCCCCAACAGAGGTCACAGAAACTGCCCTAAAGCAAGCCATAAAGTCCAGAAGGTGGCCGGCCATGGTGGCACACAGCTGTAATCCCAGCACTCTGGGAGGCTAAGGCAGGAAGAGTGCGAGTTCATGTCCAGCCTGGGTAACTTACTGTGAGACCTTGTCTCACTATAAAAATTTCAAAACGCTTGGGGATGTCGCTCAGTGTGAAGGCTCTGGGTTCAATCTCCAGTCCTGCAGAAACAAAACAAAAGGAACAGAAACACGTGGGAAGGGTACTCTCTCCCTTCTAGATCCTCTCCCACTCCACAGGGATCCTGCCCCACATCCAGAAGGGCAGGATGCTGAACAGTGAGGCCAAGAAGAAGCTGGGCAGGTCCTGCTGGGCTTCCTGTTCAGTCTGCTTCCAAGAGACCACACCATTTTGTCCAATCTCATTCACTTCTACACAGCTGTTATTTCACTGGACCTAAGCATAAAAAGAGCCTTTCCCTTGGATCTTTGGGCCTTCACTTCTTTTTCTTCTCTTCTCTTTCTTCCTTCTCCTTTTTTTTTTTTTTGTCTTTTTGAGACAGGGTCTGGCTGTGCAGTTCAGGCTGGGCTTGAGCTCACTTTGTAGCCCAGGCTGGCCTTGAACTCACAAAGATCCTCCTGTCTCAGCCTCCTGAGTGCTGGGATTACAGGCATGCACTACCATGCCCAGCCTTCTTTAGGTTTTTTGAGACAGGGTCTCCCTATGTCATTCAAGTTGGCCTTGAACTTGTGGCACTCCTCTTGCCTCCGCTTCCCATGTGCTGAGATAACAGGTGTGCACCGCCACGCCCTGCTTGAGCCTTCACTTGTGAAGGGTCCTGTGTCACATGAAACCTGGGTTACGTCAGCCTGTTAAGCTTTTGTCTTGTTGCAGAAGTGTCATGGTGACTGTTACAATGGGTGAAGAAAGGTACCCTACCACTCCACCCCTCCCAGCACCAATGCTAAATGGTACAGTGGAGACACGGAGTAAATAATCATTACCTACTGTAATAAATGCACAGACAGAGGGAGAAGATGCGGGTCAGGAGGGATGCCTCTCTGAGGAGCTGAGTTTTAGGCTGAGGATGAGAGTCAAGGCAGTGTCCACATAGCAGAAAGCTGGGCATGGTGGTGCACACCTATAATCCCAGCACTTGGGAGGCTGAGGCAGGAGGATCGTTGCAAATTCGAGACCAGTCTTGGCTACAAAGTGTGCTCAAGGCCAGCCTGAACTGCATAGCAAAACCTTGTCACAAAAAGATAAAAACAAAACAAAACAAAACAGATAGCAGAAAGAGCAAGTACCAAGGTCCTGAGGCAGGAAAGCACTTGTCAGGTTTGAAGAATGGCAAGAAGGTCACTGAGGTGGGGGATGAGGCGGGGCATGGAGGCTGGGCTGCAGGGCCTCTGTAGACTGGCAGCTGAGCGAGTCCATGCTAAGTGTTCTGTGGACAGTGTGTGTGGCAGGGTTTAAAACAGACCTCAGTTGGGGAGGGAGTTACAGACAAGCAGACTCGGAGACAAAGGGACACACAGTCATTAGGATGGGTGCCTGGGCAGGAGGCGCTGGGGGGACCCTGTAGGTCAGGGTGAACTGGCTCCCTGAATGACAGGGCTCTGAGTGCCAGGGAGGAAATGAAACCTGCGTACTTCTCCTCACGGTGGGTTGTTTCCTGCCCAGTGGCCCACCGGGGGCCAGGAGGGTTCAGCTTCCTGATTCTGGGGCCCCTGTGCAATGGGACTTGGAATAAAGCGTGGGACGCAGTAGTGGTGAGACCTTTGCCCACTGGGGCTCATCCTCTGAGCCCCTCTCTGGGGAAGCCCAGAAGCACCTCCACAAGGACAGGAGGGCGCAAGTCCCTAAGACAGCACTCTGCTTCCTGTTTCCTGCCCCAAGGCCTTCTACCAGGTATGAGCTCTTGAAAGGCAAGGCCTCAGGCAGGCATGGTGGTACACGCTGGTCATCCCAGCATTCTGGGAGGCTGAGGCAGGAAAGGTCACCAGTACAGGTCTAGCCAGGGCAACCTAGGGACTTAGCAAAATGCTGTCTCAAAATATAAAATAAAAAAAAGGCTGGCCTTGGGATGGTCCTTGGTTCAATAACCACTGCTGCAATAGACTGCTCCTGGGTTTGATCCCCAGCAAAAAACAGGGGGCAGGGCCTCCCCAGGCCCCCCTCACAGGGCCTCTGGGGGAGTCAGCGGCAGACAGGGGTCTTGCCCTGGTGCTGCTGAGTGACAGCGGGTCCCCACCGCGCTGGTAGGGCTAGAGATGGAAGCTGGGGCCCCGGCCAGCACAGGGTGAGGTGACGCGTAAGAACCCCGCCACATCTCCTGGAAGACCCTGCCCAGAGCAGTGAGCCAGAGCAGCCTGCTGGCACCACGCACAGTTCCTCTTCCCCAGACCTGCCCCGGGCCTGCCGCTTCTACCCATCCGTGCATCACTATCCTTCCGTCCCTGCAGGACAGACCCACAATCGAGCCGCCATTTACGTGAAACCCGCTACGCTTAAGGCGTGACTTAGATCATCTCACTCAGGTTTTCTATTTTTATTTATTTTGAGGCAGTCTCACCATGTGGCCCAGGCTGGCCTTCAACTGCTGGCCTCAAGCCATCCTCCCCCCTCAGCGTCGTGTAGTCGAGATCCCAGCCTCGCACCAGTGCCCCAGGCCTGTTACCCCAGTCCCTGAGAGCCCGGCTTGTGTGACTCCCTAAACCGCCTCTTCCGCCGGCCGCGGCTCGAGTAAGTCAGGCTTTAAAGACAAGAAGGAAAGGATGGAGCCCACCCCCCACAAGCAGGAGTCAGAGGCCTGTGGATGCCGGGCGTTGTGGAGCATGCCCGCAATCCCAGCAGTCTGGGAGGCTGAGGCAGGAGGATGGCAAGTTCGAGCCCAGTCTGGGGGGATTTAGTGAGACCCCGTCTCAAAAAAATGTTAAAAAGGGCTGGGGAGGTAGCTCAGGGCGAAGGCCCACGGTGCCACCTCCAGTGCTGGGGCTGTGAGTTGGAGCCGGACCCGACCTAAGCCTCACCCAGGCGGGGTCTGCGGGCGGCGAGGCGAGTCGCGGCTCCGGGAGCCTGGGCTCCGCGCCCGCCCTCAGCCCTCTGCGCGCTCCACAAAGAACAGGTGAAATCTCCGCTCCTGCGTACCCGGCCGTCAGTGAGCGACAGGAAACGTGCGGCACACGGGCGACCCCGCGGAGAGCTGAGCCCCGCGGCGCCCCCACAGGCTGCAGGGCCGGCGCCAAACCCCTGGCCCGGCCTCATCTTCGCGGCTTGGGAGCGCTGGGCTGCGGGAGCTCTCGCAGGGGGGGGG